TCCCTTCAGCCCCTGGAGTCCGCCTGCCCCGCCTCCCCTTGGCCCCCAACCAGACGCCCCATTCCTCGGAGAAACCGGGAGCAGCAGTCTCGCATCCCAGCGTCATCGGCCCACGTGGCCGGTGTCGCATGCCAACCAGAGGAACCCAGGCGGTTCACTCACTTCTTGTCCCACCTCTGAGCTAGCCTCTTGAGGGGAGGAGGGGAAGACTTTCTCACCCCCTCAGTGCCTTCGCTCGTGGCAACCTTCCAGCACCTAGAAGTCTTCTTTGTTTGGTTTACCATCAGCCTCATGTTGGCGTATCCTCCCAAGAGACCCCGCAAGGGAGGTTCTGCTCCCACTCTGGTGGCTGGTGGCAGTTTCAGGTTCCGTGATGGTGTCTCCTCCACAGGAAAGCCACCAGACTCGCAGCCACCCCCAGACTGGCCACGGGGGCCTCTGAATCGCAGAGGAACAGAAGGGCAGCCCTCACCTCCCTCCGGTTTTCCTTCCCCATGGGGTCAGAACTTTGCTAGCAGATGCCATGGAGACCCACATTAAGCAGGCGCCGGGCCACACTTGCATGTTAGCATTTATTGGTAAAGCAGTAGTTTAAACAAAAACGTGGATTTAAAGAGATGTTTTATTAAAGGCCCACTGGTATGAGTTTTTTAAGCTGTCTAAAGTAAGGCAATGCAGGCCAGAACGAAGCCTCGGCGGCCTGAATCTGGCTCCAAATCCTCACTCTCTGATCTGTCCCAGGAAGACAAAAGCCACCCTGTGCCGGCGGTCCCCCCCTACTCCCAGGAGCTGAGGCAAGAAGGAGAGGGGGCTGGCCTGCAGGTGGGTGGGACCTGTGCCCATGCAGGCCAGAGTGACCTCTCCACATGGGGCCTGCTGAGGACGTGCTGGCCCTCCCTTTGTCCTTGCCTTCTGGAGCTGTGGGGATCGCAGAGAGGGCCTGGTCTTGTCCCCACTAAACAGCCAGGCGAGGCTCACCTGCTCCCTCTTGTCTACCCGAAAGTGGCCCTGCCTGTCACGAACACCGAGGGGATATCCCAGCAGCCAGAGTTGCTCCTGCTAGAAGCAAGATGCCTGGAAGGACCCTGCAGGGTCTCCTGCTGCCCCATCTGGCTTCCTCCCCGGGTGCTGGTTCTTCCCTCCTCAGGCCCTGGGCCACACACTGCAGCCCCAGGCCTCCCCAGCAGTCCCTGGGAACCAGCTGACATATCCAGCCAGAGAAGAGCAGAGGCAAGTGTCCCATCTGTCTGCTCACAGAAGAGAAACAAGCACTCTGACGTGCAGCCCCAGGGAGGAACGCCCAGCTGGAAAGTGCTGACCAAAACAAGCACATTTCTAGTTTACGGTTGCTTGACTCATTGTGGGTTTTGGTTCCAGGTGTCCCCAGGGGCTGAGGAGATGCAGCCAAGCCCACGCTTGGCCATGATGGTCATCGACGCCAACGTCATTCTTACACCCAAACTGTGCCTGCAGTCTGGCAGGCAGGCTGTGACCACCAGGACCATGCAGGGCGTGCCAGTGCCCCGAGACCCTGAAGCAACAGTGATGGAGAAGCCCACTGGCCCCGGTGAGGCCTCAGGAGAGCGAGGGGCAAGACAAAGTCCCTGCCAGGTGGTGGCAGGGGCCGGGTGACGCCCACGGTGGTCTGTGAGGCATCTGCGTTCTGGACAGCCCGACTTGCATGTTGAATAGCAAGGGCAGACGTGGTGAGAGGGGCTCAGCCCAGCCCGGTCCCCATGGGTGGTGAGACATGAGACATGGGGGAGCCTTCAACTCTGCCCACCCCAGAGGACACTGAACTATCCTGGTGGCAGAGCAGTGCCCAAGCTGGACACCACAACAGCAGGATAGGGCCAGAGCCAGTGAGGAAGGCCTGCATCCAAGCAGGAAGAGAGGGCAGAAACTCGGGATGATTTTAAGAGGGGCGGCCGTGCTGAGTGTGCCTGGGCTCAGGGGAACGGCAGGAGCCAGCCTGGCTGGGTCTCAGTGGCCTGTGCTCCTGTGGGCACATCTCCGGAGAGAAGAGCCAAAATGGGCGAGGTCCAGCCGGGCTGAACATGGCCGAGGGAGGGCAAAAAGGAAGCGGGCTGAGGGGATGGGAAATGCTGACAGCTGCATCTGGAGGTTGCCCTCCAGCCCGCCCATGGAGGTGGTGAGCATCCTGGGCCCTGCTTGTGGGACAGGCTCCTCTCCTCAGCCTGGGCCACGGGAGGCTCTAACAGACTCCCTGACAAGGCCTGAGACAGCTAACACTTGCCTAGTTTAAACTTGAACTACCATAAGAAATAAAGATGGCCCACAGCCTGGCCTCACAGAAGGGAAGAGGGTGTGTTAGAAAGTGGCAGCTCAGGGCGGTGCAAATCTGTGCAGTTAATGTGCATGGGGCCAGGCCGGGCATGGTGACTCAGTTTCCCCATCCTTCAGTCACTGGGCCATCTGCACCACGACGGCCCTCCAGGCTTTTTCCTTGTCAAACTCCTTCAGGGGGCTTCTGGCCATCTGTGAGTAAGATGGGACAGGCGTTATTTCAGCAGGGCCACCCGCGACACTCGAAGGCCAGCCCGCCGGCAGGGGCAGCAGCATGCCTCAAGCTCCCCCAAACTTGGGCATTTTCTCGGAATGTGAAGGGGAGGGAGTAACCCCTGGACCCCCAGGAATATAGATAGTGACCTCTGTCTTTCACCCTCCAGGAAACTCCTACTCCCCACAAGCAAACTTTGCCATGGCCTCCACAGGCACAAGCCTTGAGCCTCTGATGAGCCGTCACTCAGCCTGCGCCCTGGCTTCAGGGTGGGGTGGTCTCTGGAGGGATGTGTCTGATGGTTGAGGAAGAGGATGCTTGAAGCAGAGGTGACCAAATGTCGCTAGACACGGGAAGGCAGTGCCTGTCCCAGCTGTCCACCCTGAGCCCTGGGACCACAGTCCTGGAATCTGGTGAGAGCCACCTATTCACTGATGCTGGACCCTGCTGGTCAAGACACCAAGCCAGGAGGCTCTCATTCAGGGCTCAGGGACCACCGTCCCACACCCAGGTAAAAAGGACAGCAAGACATTGTCCAGGAAGCCAAATGAAGGAAACAGCCCCAGGAGAGGGTGGAACATGTCGGGTTTGAGAAAGAAGCCCAGGGCAAGAGGGTGTCCTCCAGGACACAGGCATAGCCTGCACTGAGCCCTGGGGTCGGGGGTGTGCAGAATCCAGGGGGCAGGAGCAGTGGCCAGTCTACCCAGGGCAGTCTGAGGGCTGACCAGGGTCGCACCACCTGGTGGTAGATGGGCGCAGGCCCCAGGGAGCAGCTGTCCATGGACTCAGGCATCCTGCTGACATTCCCATGATCACTGCCCCCAAGGGTGGCAGGCAGGTTGCGCAGGGAGAACCACACCAGAACAGGCAGCCAGGAGAGGGGACACCCAGCCCCTAGCCTTTCATCTGTGGGAACATCAGGAACAGAGGACAAGAGGCAGGGCCAGGGGAGATGTCATCCAGTGGCATGGGCCTGGCAGAGGGTGGGCGTGACCCCAGAGGCTACCAGCCTGCGTGCTGACACCCAGCTGGAAGGAACCCGTGTGCCAGGCTGTGGGCAGACACTCCCTTCCATGAACAACTGGCATACCCCCAGGGCCAGGAAGCACCCTCACAAAGCCTCTTCTATGTTCCAGGAATGGGTTTGGGTTTGCCTGGTTGGTTTTTTTAACGTATTTTTTTTAAAAACACATTATTTCTTCATAGTTTCTCTGGGCTGTTTTTAAAAACACCAAATGGGGCCAGGTGCAGTGGCTCATACCTATAATCACAGCACTTTGGGAGGCCAAGGCAGGCAGTTCGCTCAAGCCCAGGAGTTTGAGACCAGTCCAGGCAACATAGCGAGAACTAGTCATTTCAAAATATAAAAACATGAGCTGGGCATGGTGGTGCCTGTAGTCCCAGCTACTCGGGAGACTGAAGTGGAAGGGCTGCCTGGGCCCAGGAGGTCAAGGCTGCAGTGAGCTGTGATCATGCCACTTCCCTCCAGCCTGGGCAACAGAGAGAGACTCTGACTCAAAAAAAACCCCCAAGCAGCAAGACAAGTCCTGGAAGGATGGCAGTGTGGCAGTCGGTCCCCTTGGGCAGGCCCAGAAGACCCTCTAGGATGGGGCGGTTGGGAGAAGGGGCAGGGAGGTCCCAGGACACAGCGACTCACCTCCCCCGCTGGGCGTTCCTGCGGGCTGGTCTGGCCGTCCCAGGATGCACCCTGCTGCTTGGCGCTGACCTTGAAGCTCACGCACTGGATGGCGGTGCCGGTGTTGAGGCCGGCCTGCAGGAGCAGCACCACCAGCAGCAGTGGCAGGAGCACGTCGCAGGACTGCTGCGGGGGGAGAGGTGAGGGGCGGGGCCACAGCTGCCCCCGTCCAGCCCTCGCTGAGAGCACAGCCTAGCCAGCCACACGCACCATCCCCGCCCAGAGAGGTCAGATCTGCTGTACCTTCTGTCTGTGGCCGGTACCGGCGTCCCAGCAGGAGGCTGACCACCATCCTGGTGGGAGGCCGCCAGGCCCTGTGGACAGCACTGGCCGCCGGTGCTCATGGCCCACCACCCCTCCTAGCCCAGCAAGGATGGGAACGGGAAGGAAAAGGAGAAGAGGGGAGCAGGGGGGAGGGGAGGGGAGAGAGATGTCCACAGACCACCCCTCCAAGGCTGGTGTGACCACAGCCCTCCTGCCATGACGCGTCCACAGGAAACACACTCCCGGGACTGACAGAGTCGGCTCTGCAGAGCCCTGAGCAGAGCAAAGAGGGGACACAGGCCTGGGGGCGAGGGATGCCGCTCCGCCAACACATTCACCAGCACCAGCTGCTGGAGAGGGAGGGGCTGAGGAGCAGGGCAGGAGGACAAAGAAGCAGCAAAGGGGTGGTGGCCAGAGTGCCCAAGGGCCAGAACATCCGCAGAGCCCCCAAGACCCGCCCACGCCACGTGGACGGCGCCGCTGCACGACCGAGGTACAAAGCAGCTGACTTGAATGCAAAGAGGAACCGAGCATCCATCCGGCAGCACAGCTGCCAAGAGGGAAGGACTCACAGAGGCCTGCCCTTCTCAAGTCGAGGCACGAAGTTAGTGTGGCCCCAGCAACGCTCAGTGACACCACGCTCTGGAGTAGGTGCCCTGATTCCACAGTTCATACAGAAAAATAACTGCGCCTCAAAAGCTTGGCAGACCCTGGACAGAAGAGCAACCAGCAGTGGGCATCGAGCCCTGCCAGGTTTCCGAGCTTGGGAAACCCCCGTAATGGGTGGGGCGGAACCAACCCTTGGCAGGGCTCCTGAGGGGAGCGGGAAGGCAGACACGCTCGCAGACCCCAGCAAGACAGAAGTTGAGTTAAAGTTTAGACCAAGCCCAGCCTCAGATGACGGCGGGAAAGAGGGTCTCTTGAAGTGTGGTGTTGGAACAAAGGAAAGGGTTGAGCAGGCCCTGGCTGCACTCAGGGATAAGCCCCAGTTGGAATCCAGAGGCAACTGAAGAAACTACGGGTCAGTTAAACTATAGAAGAACAAAACAATCTTCCTATCAAAAATCACAACAAGCAGAATGAAAAGCAACTGCCGGGCTGACCACGACTGGGGTCTTCTGTCATAGATGGAGGGTGTCTCCAGGTGTCAGCAGAGTTCTCAAAAGCCCACTGGAAAATGGGCACATGGCAAGAGCCGAAACTGCTGGATGAGAATGCAGCCGCACCCGAATGCGGGAAGGGCCCTGGCCATCCTCACACTGCGAGAGATGGCCTCGCCACAGTCACAGACGCTCAGCGGGCCCCACTGTAGTGGGCCGGGGAGGCGGGGACCCCCACCACAGGCAGGAGGGAAGACAGACAGCCCTGGGGGGATCAGGGCACACACCTCAGCCAGCAGATGCATCTGCCCTCTGCCCCGCAAGCTCTCTCCTAACTGCTCAGCCTAAAGAGACACCTGCAGACTCAGAGCGAAGGAGTGCTCGCACAGCAGATGGCGAGAGGAAGCCCGTTCTCCACTGCCAGGGCTGGCTGGTTGACAGGGGACGCCCGGCAGGAGTAAGAATTCAGAAGGGCTCTGATCCCTGGGTACCGAGGAAATGCCGGGGTAAATTAAGTAAAAAAAAAAAAGCTAGGTGCAGGATGGTGGTTATGGTGTACTGTTTTCTAAGAAAAGAAGGAAAATCATGAAATGTTGCCTGTAAGAGGGGCCAGTTGAGGGAAAGGAACCATTACCTCCGTGACACACCAGTGGGGGGGACGTGGGATGGACCTTTCTGACACACCAATGGGGGGGACCACAGCCTCCCTGACACACCTCTGTATCATTTTGACGTTTGAACTATGTGAGTATTTTATGTATTCATAGAAAGTCATTTAAAAAGGAAAAAAGTGCCCACCGCTAAAATGAGGTACAACCAGAGCCACTCCCCTCAGCCGTGTGTCAGATCCATAGCACAACCACGCAGAGAGGGGATTAGTCTCATACTCATGATATCCTCCTGAGTGGAATGCTGACAGCAAAAAGGAGGGTTTGCCTCGCTTGATAGGCGCGTGGCGGCTGGTGACACTGGCCTCTCATGTTTGTGGACACTTTGTGCGTGTGTCATGAGACAGAATGAAGTAATAAATATATCAAATGTCATAGGAAACAAGATTTTTGGAGGAAGAGGAGGGAAAGCAAACACATAGAAGTCAAGGAAAATCCCTAGAACTCACACGTGGTGTTAGAAACACCGATGTGAACTCATAACCTTTAAACATCTGCTTTCCCAGCTCTGTCCACTGAAAGGGCTTGGGAGCAATGACCCACAGCAGGACTGAGCACTCGCAGCCCCAGATTCTGACCCCCGTGTTCCATTCTCCGCTAAAGGGACCAGAGTGTGCCTGGGATGAGGATGGCGCACGGGAGCCCGGGACGGCCACGACAGGAAGACACCGAGTTGGAAGGTGCCCCCTCCAGCCACATCCGGGTCAACTCAAACATCAAAGAAAGGAGGTGGCTATGCTCTAGAAATCTGAGACCCCCAAATCCTCAGGCTGCACAGCAGAAGAGGAGAGCCACTATTTACATGGCGTGCCAGTGTGTGAGCTAAGGAGGCACGAGAGGCCAGGATCACCCCCTTTTCACCCTCCAGGGAAAGCAAGAGGGTTCAGGCAAGGCTCTGGCCTGTAGCCAGCCACAGGGGACGGGGGCAGGGGTAAGATGTCTGTGCAGAGCGGAGCCTGGCACCATGGCGATCTACGTCTGCCGAGGCCATGCACTCCCCAGAAGACTCCAGGGCAGACACTGACAGGTGGGACCACCCCCCAGACAGCTGGCCTGGACTCCAGGGGGCCAGTGTCATTGGGAAGGTAGGGGTCACCCTGGCTGAAGACACCGAAGTGACCGACACCAGAGCAGGGCGTCCTGCCCAAAGACATCAGCCCAGGCTCCTTCAAGTCATGAGAAGTGCATGTGGCCGCCTGGGTGCTCAGTGGTGTCAGGTAATAACTTTAACCCCCTTAGGTATGACAGGGGCTTTGTGGGTGTGTAGGAGACCGTTCTCGCTTTTAGAAATGCTGAAGTAGTATGGCTAAGGGTCACGTGGTCAAATGTCTGGCACTCACTTTCGGATGGTTCTGGAAAATGAGGTAACCCACACGCATTCCCCCCCAGCGGCACCGGATGCACGTCATGACGTGCACATGGACAACCTCGGTGTTTACCGCACTATTTTTTCAACTTTTCTGTATGTTTGAAATTCCTTGTAACAGACGTTTGGGTGGAAATACCACTTACACCAGAAACAAACAAAAAAAATGCTAGGTATCAACAAAATAAGTCTGGTTATGCGTCCTGAGCCTTGTGGAGGAAGCTCTGAAATATTACGGGGCCTCCAGAGGCGTCCTAGGCAGACACAAGTTTACACTCAGAAGGCTCAGAGTCACACACTGTCCACTCCTCTTAACTCATCCATATACTCAGTTCTGACAGAAATCCCAGCAGGGTGTCTCAAGACTCCTGGCAACAGATTCTGAAATGTGCACGGGGGCTCCGAGGGCAGAAAGGACCCAAGACCCCTGTGAAGGCAGGTGGTCCCTGGATCCAGGTGTGTTACAGGCTATAGCAGACAGGCAGGATGGCCTAGTGGAGCTGGCCCTGCTGGTCAGTGGGGACAGGGTGAGGACACCGGGGATGGCACAGTCACTTCACCGTCCACACAGGAAAGGCAGGTGAGATCCCACCACGGGCTTCGCCTAAAGCCAGTTCCACCCAGGGCTGACTGCAAAGCCAAGCTGGCCAGGCAGGCGTCCGTGATCCCCTGCCACCGCCCAGGCGGAGCCGCAGGCCCTGAGACGCGATCTGGGACTCGCGCGCGGCACCGCGGCTTTGTGATTCCAGAGTCTTTTTTTTTAAGTGAGATAGCAGGATTTATGGAGAGGACAGAGAAGCACCCACGATGGGGGGGACCCACGGGTTGCCCAAAGTCTGAAAACAAAGTAAGAGCAGACCTACTTTTACGGCCGGCGGGTAATCCTTCAGCATCTCCACGAGTCTCGCGACGCTGAACGACAGGTACCCAGAGGCTGTGAACAGCAGCGGGGACGTGAGGCTGCTGATGGCGAGCAGCACCTCCACCTGCCGAGAGGCCAACGAGCGTGGTTGCTGGGTGGCCGGGGGGCGTGGCCTGGCGTGGGTTGGCCGAGGCTCCCGCAGAAACCCCCACCGCCCACTCCCGACGCCAGTGCCACCAGCCTCTAACGCTTACACACGAAGGGCCCAAATCTGGCACAGCGCAGGTTAGCAAACACCTGACCAGCCTCCCAGGATGCGGGGCGGGGCTAAGGGACCGGCCACCTCCTACCCCTTCCGTGCTCAGTGGAAGAGAAGTGCCCATTCCTGGCTGCCACAGGCAAGGCGGCCCTCGGCAAGCCCCACGGGCAGCGGAGGCCAGCCCCTGCCGGTCCTGCTCAGGCCTCACCCCTACCCCACCCTCGCCCTGGGTGGGCCCCCGCAGCCTCACCGCTCCCACTGATGTCCCCCAGGGGCTAGGCCCAGCTGGGCAGCCCCTGCAGCCTGGCTCCCGGAGCTGCCCCGTGGCATGGTGGGCCCTGGTCCCACCCTGTGGGTCACTCAGCAGTCTTGAGGTCTTCACCTACCAGACACTTGCTGGGACACTCCGCTGTCACATGACTGGCAATAGCACTTGGAAAACACTAAAGGAAAATGAAAAGGTTTTAGAGGTTAGGGCCCAAGAAGTCGATTTCACGAGTGCTCTTGTGCTTTGATGTGACTTGTCTCCCCCAGGCTGGGCAGTGGCATTGGCTCCGAACAGGGCTGCCACAGGGCTGGGTCGGGGGTGGGGGCTGGTCCCCGGGGGGCAGGGCTATGGGCAGCCATGGCAGGGCCAGGTCTTTGGGAAAGCAGGGTGGCCTCTCGGAGGTTTTGTGTGCCCACTGTTCCTCATCCACGTATTTTACACGTCAAGCCTGTAGTAGAGCTAAAGGTTGGCACAGCAAACAGGTGAGGCTCCTCAAGTCGCTGACCCCGGACAGCCATCACCTCGGTGCCCTCCTAGACAGCCCGACACCCAGACACCTGCGTGCCCACACCCAGGGCGCCTGTGAATGCCCCTGCAGTGCCACCTGGGGGGCTGGACGTGGTCCACAGCACCATCCAACACAATCTACCGGTGGCCCAGTACTGTGCTTTTAGAGCCAACTGTTGGCTCCTCATCCAGGATCCAATCTGTGGCCACGCCAAAGTCTCCCTGGTGGTCTCTGCTAGTCAGGGAGGCCCTTGGCCTCTGTCACCTTCACCACCTCGACATTTCTGGGGCACAGAGCCTGTCTGCTGCAGGCTGGCCTTGTGTAGGCTGGGCAGGGTTTCTTCACGATCAGACACAGGGACACCACAGAAGACGCTGCTGCTCCCCGGGCCTAGACTGCCCCAGTCCTGCCACACCATGATTACTGGGTTGGGAATCTGCTGAGTTCCTGGGTGGGATCCGTAAATGCCTTTTTTCCACTTATTTTAAGGAGGTTGACTTAATTATACACAACGTAGGTGGAGGGAGGGTGCATCCTCTTCAAGATTGCTGCGTGTCGGGTCCACCTCTGCCACCCACCTGGGGCCAGACCCCTTCCCGGCTCCAGGCACCAGCACCCCCCACCCCAGTCTGGCATGACGACCTCGTGACCCAGTGAGGCCTCAGCTATAAAGTTGCACCCACACTCCAAAGGAAGGGACGTGCCCACCCCTGGGCAGTGGCATTGGCTCCGAGATGACAGACTCCTCCCATGGCAGGAATGACCCAGGCCCCGGGACACGCTGGGGAGGGGCTCTCATGAGAAGGTGGGTGGGACAGAGACAGGCTCAGAGCAGCGGGAGCCTGGGCAGCAGGAGAAGACCAGGGGGCCACAGGGGCCACAGGAGCAAAGGCCCCGCGGTGGGAGGGACCGGATGTGGCAGCAGAGGCTTGTTTGACCCAGGTGGGGGAAGCCAAGGTGTCAACAAGGGGGTCACGCTGGCTGTTTCCAAAAGGGCCTCTGGCTGGAAGTAGCAGTGAGGGCCAAGGAGGAACAGCGGCAATAGCCCATGAGGGGTAACTGGAAGCCCCAACAAGCCACCGAAAGGACGGACATTTGCTTGTTGGCTCAACCCAGCACGGCTGCTCCGGCCCCTTTCCTGGACAGGCAGGAAACTCAGTCACAGGGACAAGGGCAGCTCAAAGGAGGCCCAGGCCAGGAAGAGGCCCAGCCCCCAGCCCACACAGCCCCCAGCTGGGACCCTACTTCATTCCCAGTGGTGCATGCCCTTTGCCCAGGCCTCGACTTGGGCACACAGAGCTGGCTCATCCCCCCACCCGGGTCTCCCCGCTGCTCCCAGTCGGAGGGGGAGAGAGTGGTGGGTAGACTTAGGGATGCCCAGGAGGCCCCACCTGGCGGGGACGAGGTAACTCGCTGGTCAGGACAGACGGGAATTACATGAGAAAGAAGCTCCAGCAGGACGGGAAGGGAGGCTGGTTTCACAGAGCCCGTTTAACACAGATAGGGATGGGACAGGACAAGGGTCTTCCATTGTGAATTGTGGGTGGTGTCTGGTCTCTGTACTCAACAAGCTTCAGGATGTTACTCCTGTCTTTGAGGCCCAGAGATTAGTGTGTACCCGAGGTTAGCATGTACCCCACAGGCATCCTGCTCTCTGTAAGACAGAACATGCCTGGTGTGCACATGTGTGAGTTCCCGTCTCTGGTTCCATCCCAGCTCTGCCCCGCCTGGGCCTCTCACCCTGCTCCTGTCCCAGGGGCCCCTTGAAGGACTAGGTCTCAGGGACTCCCGGAGGCCAGCCTGGGTGTTGCTCTGAGCCACGCACCCCCAGGGAGTGGAGCCTCGGCCCCATGTGCTGCGTCCATGACCACGGTGCTGTCCACGCATGCCCTCGTGGGGAGTGTCAGGCTGAACTCCTTGGCAGCCTGACCTCCTTGGCAGCCTCGGGAAGAGCCTCCTGCTGCCCAGGGGAGCCCACCGGTGAGGCTGAGGGGGACCGCACATCTATCCATTCACATGCCACGACGGGAGCAAAATCTATCGCTCTATGTAGCCGGAAAACATGCGGGCCACTGTGAATACCAGCACAGGTTGCCACAAAACGGTGTAGAGTGGCTGAGCAGGGCTACGTCTGGAGGCGCAGGGTGCAGATGGACGGTGGTTTGGGTGTGCTGCAGGACACGCGGGACTCCAGGGTGTGGAGGAGTCACTCCAGGTGAACTGTGCTGAGGACACATGAGCCCAAGCCCCGCCAAGGCTACGTGTCCCCACGGGAGTGCACAGGGCTACACGGAGCTAAACACTCACCAGTGTTAATGACATACGTAAACTCCATTACTTACATGAGGACAAAAAGGCCGTATTTAAAACAGCAGCCGTAGCCGGGCTCGGTGGCTCAGCCTGTGATACTGCGCCTTTGGGAGACTGAGGTGAGTGGATTGCCTGAGCCCACGGGTTCGAGACCTGCCTGGGCAGCGAGACCTCATCTCTACAATAAATCAAAAAATCAGCCGGGCGTGGTAGCGCATGTCTGTAATTCCGGCTACTTGGAAGGCTGAGGCGGAAGGATCGCCGGAGCCCAGCAGGTCAAGGCTGCGGTGGCCGGGAGCAGCTACTGCACTCCAGTCTGGGCGACAGAGTGAGACTCCAACTCAAAAAAATAAATAAATAAAATAAAACAGCAGCCGGGTACTGACGTCCCACAGGCCACATGTGGTATGAGTATTTGCTGTGGTGGAGCAACAGCAATAACAACAAAAATCGGCTGCGTTTTATGAAATGTCTGTTATAATGTAGAAATTTTAAGTAGTAGAAAGTCATAGAGAATAACAAAAATAATAGGTTTTCTTCTGGGAAACATTAAAATGATATAAACTAATATAAGCAGTTAATGTAAAAGCAGTCAACACATGGACTCATTGAAGCCTCAGTTGCCAGATTCTTCTGAACTGGGAGCCAGTGAGGACCCTCTCCAGGGGCTTTCCTGAATGCACCGACACTGAGTTCAAGGGCCTGCCCCACTGGGTTTGAGCATGGCGGCTGCCTGTGTGGCCTGGCCGGGGCAGTGGACCAGTTGGGTGTACTTACAGCCACCAGGATCCAAAAGAATGTCACTGAGAGGTGTGGGCCTGAGACGGTGTCATCCACATTCAGAGCAATGATCCCTCCAAGGACGGCAGAGATGCCCGAAATCACCTCGATGACCTGGAGGGGGACAATGGACACCACGCTGAGGCCACCATGCTGGAGTCTGTGCCTCCCGCCCCAGATTGCCCAGAATGCAGTGTGCAGACATGGACCCCAGGGGCAGGCCGTTGGTCGGGGCACCTCAATCTAGCTGTACTGACGTAGCGCCTCTGGACACACTGGGGTGGAGGGGGTGTCCCTGTCCGGCCCACCTCAGTTCCAGCCTGCAGCGGTGACTCCACACCACGTCTTCCCTGAAGTAAAGGGCTTCAGTGCTTCCCCATCGCTCCTCCTTTTTTTTTGAGTTAGAGTCTCACTCTGTCGCCCAGACTGGAGTGCAGTGGCCGCTCCCGGCTACCACAGCCTCGACCTGCTGGGCTCTGGCAATCCTTCCGCCTCAGCTTTCC